AAGAAACCCCCCTCAAAATTGAGTTTTACACGTGACTAGCAAGAAAAATTGAAAAATTGAAATGCCCAAAATACCCTCCCAAGAAAACAGGTCCAAAGGGTCCAAAAAGCTGCTAAATTTAAAAACTGAGAGCTGAACTTCGGATGCAATTTCCGACGCCAAGATGGCATTTTCTGGAAAAACACAAAGAAGAAAGCCCCTCTAAAATCACATTTTCTAAGTGACCATGTGAAGAACGGAATTAATTTGTCAAGGTAAAATCCCTAAAATGCCCTCACATCAGATTTGCAATTTAAAATGTCAAAAAGTGTCCAAAGGAAGTTCATTTCATGAAATGGTGTGAATTTTGCCCAAGTGAGCATGCACGCAAATGTATTATGATGAAATAGATGTACTATAATGGCCTACGGCCTCATGGGATGTCATACGCAAAATATGACCCTTCAATGGATGAAATCCCTTAAGTTTCACATACAAACTATAAAGATAAAGTAGCATACATGGCATATATGTGTCCTTGGCCATTGGCCTCATTACATACATATTCTAAGAGTGTCAAAAGGTGCACTTAAGTGCACATTACGTAACTTAGACAATAAGTACAAGTTTTATCAAAGTAAGCAAAGTAGGACAAGATATGCTAACATATGCATATTCTATGTCATAAAAAATATTTCAAGAACTCTAGTAAGTCTAAGAATGTTGTGCGTCCCACACTAAGGCTCTTTACCTGCAAAACACCCATTAACTTAGGGGTGAGTAAACAAGTTTACTCGTAGGGAATGCATGGTTTTATCTTTGTACCAAGTTACAATCCAATACCATTTAATTCATGCTATCAAGTGATAATAGAACTTTCAACATAACACAATGAGATGTAATTTCACAAAGTTAACAACCTGGAATTTAAATGCGAAATCAAACCAAAGTGGATACTTGGACGTCACGCCGGATCAAACCGATAATGTGATTACTTTAGGGTTACTAGCCCATGGGTAACCTCCCTATGTGCGCACTAGACTCGTAGAGGGACTTTCCCCCGTACTAGAACCATGCCCTAGCCATAGTCATAACAACGACATCCCCAAGTTCCCAAAATCAACATTTTGTGCACATTACATATATGTATCAACATAACATATATATATACAATGTAAAGCCATCAACATGCACAAATCAATTTTAGAAACACAATACATGCCCTAAGTTCTCAACTAAAATTACATGAAGAATATTGAATAATCATTATGCAATTTGCCACTAATTACAACAATATCATTCAACAACAAGAACATAGTCTCACAAGTATGATATAAATTTAAAATCATAATTTGAACAATTAAATAAAACAACTAAATTCCCTAGATTTCACTTCTCATCTAAACATACTCAATTTAATATATGTTGTAGTACATGTCATGATTATTATATAAATCACTTCAAAACTTGATTTAAGTCATTGGAGCATATAAATAAAAATTAATTAAATTAATTCGTTAATCCCTCTAGATTTTTAAAATGACTCTAAATGACCTCAAATTAACATATGTTATGAATCAAGCCATGGTCATGTTATTTATCAAGTCTAAGGTGAATTACATTCAAGTTACAATTAATCATTTATTTCACATTTTAATACAAGACAAACATATAACTTAGATATCACTATAGGAACAAATAAAATCACTTGGAAGATAAATGATAACACCCCATACCTTACAAAAGGATTGTTCCTCTTGAATCCAAGGCAACCAAGCTTAAAAATGAAAAACCAAACAAGGGTTTTGTAGAGGGGAGTGGGAGGAACCTAAAGTATTCCAAGTTCAAAGTTCTAAGGTGAGTGAAAGGGCACCAAAAAGGAAGTCAAAGCTACTAGTCAAGCTTTTCTCCAATGGTGGCTTACTTAGGGTTCTTGAAAGGAAAGTGATGAATGAATTAAAATGTGTAAACCCTAAGCTAATTTGGTGGGCTTCTCCATTCACTAGGTGCTCTTGCACTATCTCTTACACACACACTAATGCAATACTAAAAGTGAGTCCTACACTTGTCATGAATCCAAGTAAGCTTCCAAGATTAAATATTAACCGTACACTTGTCAACCATCCATGCCAACATGTGCACCAATCCTAGGACAACAAGTGGGTGAATCTCCACCCTCCATGTGTCATGAGATTAAGCCTCCAAGTGGTTTCACCACAAAATCAACAAGTGGCACCATAGGAATGTGACACTTGTCACATTTTCTGAAAATTACAAAAACGTCCTTCTTGAAAATATCTTCCAAATTAATTTGCAAAATGGTCCCTAAGACGAAAAATAATTACTTTACTTAAATACCCAAAAACCCCTCAAGTTATAGATAATTACAAAAAGTCTTGTTTTCATGGCTTTTACAAAGAAAGTAAGCATTTAATATGCATTTCTTCAAAAGTAAAAATGTAGATGTCATGGAATTTAAATATCATGCACGTATGCAAAACCAGAATCAAATCCAAACACAAAAAAAAAATGAGGTTGTGCAAGTAAAAGTGAAAAACGAGAAGAGGACGAAATAAGGAAAAGACGAAAAAAGATAATTTCCGAAAAAAGAAAGGACGTAAAATGACAGGGTCATTACAACCTACCCTCCTTAAAGGGATTTCGTCCCCGAAATCGAACCGTACCTGAAAGAGAGAACAAATGGGGATACTGAGAGCGAACCTCCTGTTCGAGCTCCCAGGTAGCCTCCTCAATGCCATGGTGTCTCCACAAGACCTTGACCAATGGGATGGTCTTGGTCCGCAAGACCTGTTCCCGTGAATCAAGAATTTGGACCAGACCTTCCTCGTAGGTCACGTCCTCATTAATAAACACATCAGTCCACTGCAGAACATGCGATGGGTCTGGCTCGTACTTCTTCAACCTAGAGACATGAAAGACATCGTGAACCCTATCTAGGTCTGGCGGCAATACCAACTGATAAGCAACTTCGTCGACGCGCTCCAAAATCTCAAATGGTCCGATGAACCTAGGAGACAACTTACCAGTCTGTCGAAATCTCAGGAGCCCCTTACGTGGAGAAATCTTAAGAAAGACATGGTCCCCTACCTCAAAAGACAATGATCGCCTCCTCCTGTCAGCGTAACTCTTCTGTCTACTTTGTGCGGTAGCCAACCGCTCCCGAATCAACTTGATCATCTCTGTAGTCTCAATAACAATGTTGGAACCCAAGGCACCTCGGTCCAACAAACTGGAGATCTGCAAGGTTTGCCATACAACGCCTCAAAAGGTGCCATGCCAATACTGGACTGGTAACTATTGTTATAGGCAAACTCAACTAAAGGCAAGTAGTCCTCCCAACTACCACCGAAATCCAAGATACAAGCCCGTAACATATCCTCCAATACCTGAATGGTGCGTTCTGACTGTCCATCAGTCTGAGGATCGAATGCCGTGCTAAAATGAAGCCCCGTGTCAAGAGCCTCCTGAAAACTCTGCCAAAAGTGAGAGGTGAACCGCTGATCCCTATCCGAAATAATGGATACAGGAACCTCGTGAAGCTTGACAATCTGTCTCACATACAGTCCACTCAGTCTCTCTGCACTATCTGTCATTGTCATGGGTAAGAAGTGAGCCGTCTTAGTCAACCTGTCAACTATGACCCAAACGGCATTATTCCCTGCTTGAGACCTCGAAAGTCCCGTCACAAAATCCATAGTGATATGCTCCCATTTCCACTCAGCTACTGGTAATGGTTGCAACAATCCTGCCGATCGCTGATGCTCTGCCTACGCTTGTTGACAAGTAAGGCATTGAGCCATGAATTATGAAACATCCCGTTTCATGCCCTGCCACCAAAACTGTCGTCGCAGATTGTGATACATCTTTGTACCACCAAGATGAACTGCGAGCCTAGAGTGGTGGAAATTCCAAAGAATGTCCTCACGACAAGACAATGGAAGAAACATCATCCCCTTGTACCTGAGACCACCATCTGAATGTAAGGTCCAACCCTCTACATTCTCGCCTCCTGAAATCCGAACATGGATGGCCTTCATCTCCCCATCCTCCAACTGTGCCTCAATAACTCTGCTAACAAATGCTGGTTGAGCCACAAGGCTAAACAAAATAGCCGGTGAAACATCCTCATAACACTGTAAACCAAGATCTGCAAGCTCTTCTAGCATCTTCCATCTGTGAATGGAAATGCTAGCAAGAGTTCCCCATGACTTCCTACTCAATGCATCGGCCACCACACTGGCCTTACCCGGGTGATACTGTAATTCAAAATCGTAATCCTCCATAAACTCAACCCATTTGCGCTGTCTCAAGTTCAAATCCTTCTGAGAGAAGAGATACTTGAGACTCTTGTGGTCGGAGAAAACTTCAAACTTCTCCCCGTACAAATAGTGTCTCCACCCCTTCAGGGCAAAGATAACTGCTGCTAACTCTAAGTCATGTGCTGGATAGTTTAACTCGTGAGTCTTCAACTATCGAGACCCATAAGCAACCACCCGCTATGTCTGCATCAAGACACAACCCAAACCTTCTTGTGAAGCATCACAAAAGATCACATAACCTAAACCACATTCAGGAATGATCAAAACTGGAGCCAATGTCAACCTGACCTTCAACTCCTGAAAAGCAAACTCACATGCCTCGTTCTATATGAACTTGACCCCCTTGCGGGTAAGTCGAGTCATAGGTGCTGCTAAACGAGAGAAATCCTGAACAAATCTCCGGTAATAGCCAGCTAGGCCAAGAAAACTCCGAATCTCAAACACTGTCTTCGGATGCTCCCAATCCATCACTGACTCAATCTTCATTGGATCCACTGTAACACCGCCCCTTGACACAACATGTCCAAGGAACTTCACTTCTGGTAGCCAAAATTCGCATTTCTTGAATTTGGAGTATAACCGATTATCCCTAAGGATCTGCAACACTGTCCTTAAATGATACTCATGCTCCTCCACCGAAGTTGAGTATACAAGAATGTCATCAACAAAGACTACAACGAACTAACCAAGATGGTCACTAAATACATGGTTCATCAAGTCCATAAAAGCTACTGGAGCATTTGTCAAACCGAATGGCATCACTAGAAACTCATAATGGCCATACCGTGTGCAGAAAGCGGTCTTGGATACATCCTCATCCTTAACCCTCAATTGATAGTAACCTGATCTCAGATTAATCTTTGAAAAGCATGTCGCTCCCTTCAACTGATCAAACAAGTCATCAATCCTAGGCAAAGGATACCTATTCTTGATTGTGACATGGTTCAGCTTGCGATAATTGATGCAAAGTCTCAAAGACCCATCCTTCTTCTTCATAAAAAGAACCGATGCTCCCCAGGGTGAAGCACTAGGACGTATAAAACCCTTAGCTTTCAAATCCTCCAATTGAGCCTTCAGCTCATCAAGCTCTACCGGTGCCATACGGTATGGTGCCATAGAAATAGGTGCAGTATCGGGAATAACATCGATGGCAAAGACAACCTCCCGAAGAGGAGGGAGTTTTGTCAACTCCTCCGGGAAGACATCCAGAAACTCGTCTACAACTGTTGGAAAAATGCGGCCTAGACTGCTACCCTCGTCAACTAACAGGCTAGCCAAGTAGGACCTGTGGCGACTCCAATCACCGATACTAAAAATCATCGTCGGGTGGGAATCGCTCCGATCTCCCATGAAGTGAAAACAATACCTCGCGGGAGTGCAAACAGACACTTGCCCATGGAAGCAATCGATCGTGACACGTAAAAAGGACAACCAATCCATCCCGAGAACGACGTCAAAGCCCATCATGTCGAGAACAATGAAATCAAACTCCAATATCCGTTCAGCTATCTCGATAGCACAACCCCGACAAACACGGTCCAAAAACACTGGACCACCAACTGGTGTGTCAACACAAAGGAAACCATCCCGTTGTGTGACCTCCAGACCCAAAGAATGTGCAAACGATGTAGATATGAATAAATGTGATGCACCTGTGTTAACAAGAACTCTAGCCCAAGAACTGAAAACTGGAAAGATACCTCGAACTGTAGAAGTCCCTGCGGAGGTATCGGCCTGTGACAGTGCGTAAACTCGTTCCTGAGCCCCCGACTGCTGTGAACTGCCCTGCTGAGCTGACTGATGTCCAGAAACAGTAGGTGTAGGGTTCCTACTAGATACGAACTGACTGGTGCAACTGGCTGTGGTGCTTGAGGCACCCTGAAACCTGACTGTGCAACTGTCGACTGTGCCGGTGTGGCCTGTGGGCCTGCGCCACTCTGTGCCCTGTTCTGTAGGCATGGATACTCCCATCTTGACATATCCAGGCTGCTTGCAATAATTGCAAACCCCCTGAAGTCCTTGCGTCGAAGCTGAAGACTTACTAGTCTGAGAACGACTGCCTTGAGACTGCAACTGTGGGCAACGAGGCTTGATGTGCCCCGGCTGCTAACAGTGGTGACAAATGACTCCTCGGGCTGACCCCGAAGATACTGGACCTACAGATGTAGACTGAGCCTGCTGTGACTGTCCCTGAGTGCGTGAACTATCCTCGGCCTTAGCCTTCTTCCACTGACCCCCAACGGATACTGATGAAGCCTCTCCACGTGGCTGCTTATATGAACCCTTGATCCTAAGTTGATCTCGGTCCTCTGCCTCAACTAGCATAGCCTTCTGTACTACCTCCCCATAAGTTCTTAGATCCAATACTGAAATCCGTGGCCTAATATCAAGATGTAACCCATCCTGAAACTTTTTCGTCCTGAGCTCATCGGTGGCTACCATCTCCGGTGCATAGCGGGAAAGAGAAGTGAAGCGTGTCTCATACTCAATAACACTCATCCTGCCCTGATAGAGACCTATAAACTGCACTCTCATATCATGCCTCATAGCCCTTGGAAAGAAGCGGTCAAAGAACAATGTCCTGAACTCCTCCCAAGTCATCACCTCTACATCGTGGATATTGGTCATAGACCTCCACCAGATATCGGCATCTCCCATGAACATAGAGGCTGTCAAGGAGATCCTCAATCGGTCTATAGGTACTGCCATGCTATCGAGCTTGCATACCATGAGATCAAACCATGCCTCTAAGGCAAGCGGATCCATACTCCCTGCAAACTGGTTGATCTTAACCCTCTGTAACTTCATGAAGTAGTCCAATGCCTCATTAGCAACTGGTGCCGGTGCTGGTGCCGGTACCGGAATCTGTATCCCCTCCATTTGCTGGCGAAACATCGCCTAAATGGACTTTGACATCCCCAGAGCCACTCCCTGTGCAATCTGCTCCTCGTAAGTCGGAGCTCGTGGTGGATTTGGACCCGTGCCACGAACTGGAATCCTAGGCCTCCCTGGACCCCTCGTAAACTCGGTGTCATCCACCTGCTCCTCAACACCCTGACGCGAAGACTCCCCACGTGTGACAACCATGATGCTAAGCATATGCAATAAAAGAGGTCAACAATAACACAAGTTATTATGACCAAATGCAACTCGTACTATGAAAGTAAGAGATACGAAGTAAGATGAGATATGTAACATACGGTCATGTTAAAGCAATCAAGGAAGGCTGTTAAACAGTTAAGCACTTAAGCAATATGTCAAACAAGGATGCTTCTTAAACATATAAGCATACAAACATAGAGACGTATCATAATAACAAGTATGTCACCAAGAAACATGTAATTATGTTATAATGCCAAAAACATGTTATCAAAGGTATGCTAATAAATTAAAGTACACTAACAAAAGAATTTTATGCACCTAAAACCCGTCTTCCTAAGGTTTTCAAACGTAGGGGCTCTGATACCACTTGTGACGGCCCAAGTTTTTCAACCCGGTGCGTCAGTGATGAACCGAAAGATGACCCAATAACGGATCCAAAATGTGGAAGCAAAAGACAAAACAATGGTCTCTAGAGATACAACATGGCTCTAAGACACCACTATGACCCTCAACGAGGTCACGGAACCTAAAGGAATCAATTGCGGAAGCAACGTTTCAAAAACAAACAAGAATGAACCTAGGGGAAAAATCACCATTTCCAGCTTAAAAGTGGGTGCCACCAAGCACACCATTGGAAAGACAATGAAAAATTAATGAATTTAGACTCAAGAATCACTTGATTCGGAGTCCGGATGAAGAAGATATGGCTAACGGAAGAAGAAGGGCCAAAACGGTCCAAAAGAGGCAACCCATGAACATCTAACCGGTTATGAGACCTTCCTAACCGGTTATGAGGCCAAAATTCACAAGAAAAACACTGCCCACACTCATCTAACTGGTTACAAAACCCCTTGTTACCGTTTAGATGTGAAGGCGGCAAAATGGTTAGCAAGAAACCCTGGCAGCAAGGGTTTTTCCGGGAAAAATGGTAATTTGAGGGTCAAGATGACATTTTCTGGAAAAACTCAAAGAAGAAACCACCCTTAAATTCGAGTTTCCTATGTGACATATGAGAAAAATAAAAAAATATGAATGTGAAAAGCGCAAAATGCCCTCCCAAGAAAACTGGTCCAGAGGGTCCAAAAAGCTGCTAAATTTAAAAACTGAGAGCTGAACTTCGGATGCGATTTCTGATGCCAAGATGGCATTTTTTGGAAAAACACAAAGAAGAAAGCCTTCTAAAATCACATTTTCTAAGTGACCATGTGAAGAACGGAATTAATTTGTCAAGGTAAAATCCCTAAAATGCCCTCACATCAGATTTGCAATTTAAAATGTCAAAAAGTGTCCAAAGGAAGTTCATTTCATGAAATAGTGTGAATTTTGCCCAAGTTAGCATGCACGCAAATGTATTATGATGAAATAGACGTGCTACAATGGCCTATGGCCTCATGGGACGTCATACGCAAAATATGACCCTTCAATGGATGAAATCCCTTAAGTTTCACATACAAACTATAAAGATAAAGTAGCATACATGGCATATATGTGTCCTTGGCCATTGGCCTCATTACATACATATTCTAAGAGTGTCAAAAGGTGCACTTAAGTGCACATTACGTAACTTAGACAATAAGTACAAGTTTTATCAAAGTAAGCAAAGTAGAACAAGATATGCTAACATATGCATATTCTATGTCATAAAAAATACTTCAAGAACTCTAGTAAGTCTAAGAATGTTGTGCATCCCACACTAAGGCTTCTTTACCTGCAAAACACCCATTAACTTAGGGGTGAGTAAACAAGTTTACTCGTAGGGAATGCATGGGTTTATCTTTGTACCAAGTTATAATCCAATACCATTTAATTCATGCTATCAAGTGACAATAGAACTTTCAATATAATACAATGAGATGTAATTTCACAAAGTTAACAACTTGGAATTTAAATGCGAAATCAAACCAAAGTGGATACTTGGACATCACGCCGGATCAAACCGACAATGTGATTACTTTAGGGTTACTAGCCCATGGGTAACCTCCCTATGTGCGCACTAGACTTGTAGAGGGACTTTCCCCCGTACTAAAACCATGCGCTAGCCATAGTCATAGCAACGACATCCCCAAGTTTTCAAAATCAACATTTTGTGCACATTACATATACGTATCTACATAACATATATATATATACAGTGTAAAGCCATCAATATGCACAAATCAATTTTGGAAACACAATACAAGCCCTAAGTTCTCAACTAAAATGGTATGAAGAATATTGAATAATTATTATGCAATTTGCCACTAATTACAACAATATCATTCAACAACAAGAACATAGCCTCACAAGTATGATATAAGTTTAAAATCATAATTTGAACAATTAAATAAAACAACTAAATTCCCTAGATTTCACTTCTCATCTAAACATGCTCAATTTAATGTATGTTGTAGTTCATGTCATGGTTATTATATAAATCACTTCAAAACTTGATTTAAGTCATAGGAGCATATAAATAAAAATTAATTAAATTAATTCATTAATCCCTCTAGATTTTTAAAACGACTCTAAATGACCTCAAATTAACATATGTTATGAATCAAGCCATGATCATGTTATTTATCAAGTCTAAGGTGAAATACATTCAAGTTACAATTAATCATTTATTTCACATTTTAATACAAGACAAACATATAACTTAGATATCACTATAGGAACAAATAAAATCACTTAGAAGATAAATGATAACACCCCCTACCTCATAAGTGGATTGTTCCTCTTGAATCCAAGGCAGCCAAGCTTAAAAATGAAAAACCAAACAAGGGTTTTGTAGAGGGGAGTGGGAGGAACCTAAAGTATTCTAAGTTCAAAGTTCTAAGGTGAGTGAAAGGGCACCAAAAAGGAAGTCAAAGCTACTAGTCAAGCTTTTCTCCAATGGTGGCTTCCTTAGGGTTCTTGAGAGGAAAGTGATGAATGAATTAAAATGTGTAAACCCTAAGCTAATTTGGTGAGCTTCTCCACTCACTAGCTGCTCTTGCACTACCTTTCACACACACACTCATGCAAGACTAAAGGTGAGTCCTACACTTGTCATGAATCCAAGTAAGCTTCCAAGATAAAATATTAACCCTACACTTGTCAACCATCCATGCCAACAAGTGCACCAATCCTAGGACAATAAGTGGGTGAATCTCCACCCTCCATGTGTCATGAGATTAAGCCTCCAAGTGGTTTCACCACAAAATCAACAAGTGGCACCATAGGAATGTGACATTTGTCACATTTTTCGGAAATTGCAAAAAGGTCCTTTTTGAAAATATCTTCCAAATTAATTTGCAAAATGGTCCCTAAGACAAAAAATAATTACTTTACTTAATTACCCAAAAACCCCTCAAGTTATAGATAATTACAAAAAGTCTTGTTTTCATGACTTTTACAAAGAAAGTAAGCATTTAATATGCATTTTTTTCAAAAGTAAAAATGTAGATGCCATGGAATTTAAATATCATGCATGTATGCAAAACCAGAATCAAATCCGAGCACAAAAAAAAAAAAATGAGGTTATGCAAGTAAAAGTGAAAAACGAGAAGAGGACGAAATAAGGAAAAGACGAAATAAGATAATTTCCGAAAAAAGAAAGGACGTAAAATGACAGGGTCATTGCAGAGTCATTTCCATATTTTCATTTTTGGACACTATTCACTTTTCTTCTTTTTCCTGTTTGTCACTTTGTTGGCACAACCTCACTTTTCGTGTTCGGAGTTGAGTTTTAACTTCACGTAGTTTTATTCTTGTTGGTTTCCTTGAAACACATAGCTTCACTTTTGGAGAAAAGCTCGCCGGTTGTTTCTTTCTCCCGCAGGGGCGTGAATGAAAGGATTCTTCTGAAACACTGATGTTTCTTGGGGTGTTTTTCGTAAATATCTTTTGAAGATATTTATTTTAGGGGTTTTAAAGAAAATATCTTTTGAAAAATATTTTCATTCTGGCTAGTTTCGCAGTATCCTTTCTGAGGTGCCATTGTACAATTAACAAAAGTTATTGCAAAGTGCCTCATTTTAAGCCTGGAACCTCGTATGGGATTCATTTTCACATTTTGTCGAGTTGTGAACTCTAAGAATTTCCTTCCGGTCATTTTCCCCAGTTTTAGGGTTTTCGGCCCCAGTTGCCACCGAACTTGTTTGGGGCATATCTCTCTGTTCGAGACTCGGTTTTCGACGTCGTTTCTTCCGTTATTATTTTTTTCTCATTTCAGTTCTTTTTCAGTCATGGTGTTTTGCCATTTGAGCGCATCTACTTAAATTCCACTTTCCCGGACCCGGTGGGGCACGTTCGGGACACTTTTAGGGTCTTTCTATAAATAGGGGTCTGTAAAATGAAAAATCAGATTTTTTTCATCTCTTTCCCCTTTCTTGGCCAACCAAAGCTCCTCCCATGGCTACCATCTTCTCTCTCCTCCTTTGGAACTCTTCCCTTTAGTAAAAAGTGGTGATGCCTTAGTGTTTATC